GCTGCGTGTCTCTGCCTCTGAGAGTTTATCCTAAACACAGCCTTGGGTGCTCTGGTCCTTAAGAGGTCAGAGGTCAGTCTAAGTGCAGAGTTCCCTCTGGGAAGCCCAGGAGAGCTCTGAATTTTTGGAGTGCAAAAGGCATTTCCCCCAGCCCTCTGGGTTCTTTCTTGGGCTGGTGAAGCAAATGAATTAATGTCACACAGGAGAAAAGAACAAATTTCATTGCAGGTGCATGGAGAATACACATAGATGTAGATTCTAAAGCAAATGGGGCCAGATGTGGGTCTGTGCCCTGAGTTTAAGGAACAGAACAGGGCTTAGGGCTTGCGGGGGAAAAGACAGAGAACTCGGAGGACACGGAAAGAACATTTCTACAGTTAGATGCTGCCTTGTAGTACACATAGTGTCTATGCTAGGAGGGTGATTTCTGGGGATATTTCTGGTTAGTAACCCCAGCTTTCACTTTTCTTAGTACTTAGGGGAGTGGTCAGAGTTTCTCATGACCTTGCAGGGCTTCAGTTGACTTCTGAAATGAGCCACATGCCACAGTGATATGTTGGGGTGGGGGGAGGGCATGCACCTCTAATCTCCTCAGGAAACCTGTCCTTTAATTCCTTTCCCTGACTGAAGGCTCAGATACTGCTCTTACATGAAACATCAAGGGTAATGGCAGGTGTCTCCTTAAAACCCAGATTAAGGTCCCTGACTCAATGACACTGGTCGCAACTGGGCCATTCAGGAGCATTCCTAACCACTGACCTGCCCATGAGGTTTTTGCTGTCTATCATTTAACTTGTCTTCCTTTTCCTGAGATGCTTGATTTTTCATCACACTCCTGTGGTAGAAATATTGTCATTTTTGTAAAAACACTCATTTCCTCTCCCCTCACTGGATGCTTCTCTGTAAAACGTATTTAAAAAAAAAAAACACGGTTGCACAGTGAACACCCCAGTGTCCTTGGTCTTCACACTGTGCCAGAGAATGTCTGTTCTTTAGCTTTGCATTGAAAGGATGATAAAATGTACTCAGGAAATCAGTACTTTGTATTAAAAAACAAAACACATTCTAGTTCAGTTTTATTTTCTGTGTACGGATTTCTGTGACTGGAATGGCTCTTTGGCAAAGGCCCCTGGGAGACAGTGCTCTGAATATGTTTCTTCTTATGCTTTTGCTTTGCCTTGGCACGTAAAACTGTTTCCTATTTTGGTTTCTTCTGAGATTCAGTCCCTATTCTGTCACCGTTAAGCACTTCAAGATACTAATTAGTGCTTCATCAACAACTATCAGTAGGGAATTGAGGGTGGTGCGCAGGGCAGAGGCCCCCGGGAGAGAAACAGAATTTTGGTTTTTGTTTGGGGTACATCTGTGGTGCTCAGGACTGACTCCTGACTTTGTGCTCAGGGCTCATTCTTGGAAGTTCTCAGAATGTGCTGGGGATCAAACCTGGGCCTGTCGCATGCAAGGCAGGTGACCTACCTGCTGTCCTAACCCTCCAGACCTGTAAGAGAACTTTCCAAGACAGGCAAGAATAGATATAAATGGCCATGCTGATGAAGATTAGCAGGGAGAGCCAGTGACAATTATTAGCATTTTGAATTTTCTGGCAGAATCAAGAATCCCTTGAGCCTAGACATGGGTGAGGGATGTTGGTGTTTTGGAGGTAGACATGGGTAGTAAGTAACGCTTTGAAAGAGGTGTGAACCCATTCTCCTAAAACTTGGGCCATGCCGTAGTAAGTCTTTATCCGAATCCAAAACAAACAAACAAAAAAGACCCTATGAGGGAAGGTATCTTTTTTTGCAGTTCCTCAAAACTGGGTTCTTTATTCCCTGTTTCTCACTGGGTGCTTTTGGGGTGCTGCCACCTTGTTGTCAACATTGCCAATTAACCTCTTTCAGATGAGGCGGCCAAGTGCACCCACATTTTTATTCGCTCGCCCTTGTCTTGGGCCCAACAACAGAAGGTTTCGCCTTGCATGCCCTTGGACTGATTGTTCCAGGCTGGGTGCTGGGAATCAAATCCCTCCCAGCTTCACGAACAAACCTGAATCACAGTTATTAACCTCCAACAACAACCAAACCCCAAACCCTGTTGCTTTACTTGAGATTGGAGAAGAAAATTGTTTGCAAGTCACACTCAAGGAAAAATGACCAGCTCTCAGAAGCTGTGGGTGGCTGACTTCTTGCTGGATCCTGGTGTGAGTTCAGGGCTCAGTTTGCAGCTGATTTGTGCAAGTTCAGACAGCGGCCACCTCAGCTCCTCGGGGACCCTGCGAGTGAATCAGCTTCATTCCTTCTGCAGCAGAGCAAATGGGCAGAGATTGGTACGGGGGAGAGTGGGGAGGGGTCAGCCTGCTGAGTGCACACAAGCGGCAGGATGGAGCTGAAGGCAATCTGGTTCCTGGAAGTCTGGCACAACGGGATTTCAGTTTTTAGAAAGGCAGACGAAAATATTTGGGGTCCTGTGTAGTCTGTCAACATGTCACCCCAAGGGACAGTGATGAGTGAGTGGAATGTGGCAATTTCTCCGTGCCCAAGCTGGTGGGGGGTATGTGAACTAGAATTTACCCCTTCTGCTTGTCCAGGCTTGTACCAGCCTCCCTAGAGCTGTGGATGGTCTCGTTTGCACTCAGGACTTGGTGAGAACAACTCATTTCAGTCAGGAGTCATGCCTGTCCCTAAAATGTCACTTCTGTACCCCTTGGCATTGGGACTGCACCAGGCCCCTTGGCTACATTTGATCTTTTCCCTACCAAACAGGATGCCTGTGCATAATTCCGATGCCTTGGAAAGGATTTGCCTCTGAGCTTGCCTCTGAGCATCTGCTTGGATGTGAGCAGTCACAGTGAACTTAGACAGGCTCTGTGACTTTAAAACTCACCCGAAATTAGAGGAGAGGGGAGGGAGGGGGAGAGCCAGGCACCTCTTGTGCCACCCCACCAGCCAGCTCATACATGCCCTGGAACCCAGCGGATGGGCTCACCCAGCAAGATGGCCACGGGACCAATTGTACATGCCAGGCTCCTGGTGCATCTTTTCCTGATATCCTAGTGGAAAATCAGAATGGCCCATCCTTACCAGGATGACCCTCTGGCTCCCCAGAGAATCCTCAGTTATTTCCATTTATTTTAGCAAAGCCACTTGCTGTTGATGATCGGATGACACATTCCTAGGGAGGCTTGAGAGTGAGCCGTGCACAGAGGGAGGAAAGCCTCACCCAGAGAGTCGATTCTGGGTGTACCCTGCCCAGCACCTCTCCAACCAGGCATATTCAGAGACAACCAAGAGTGATTCATGACTGAGCTCCCTCTCAATTGCTGTTTGATCTGTTTGTTGTGTTCATGTTATTTTTCTTACTGCTGTTACCATTGTGACTGCTGTGCTGGGGATTGAACCCAGGCTCATGTGAGAGACTCGTGCTTTTTCACTGAGCGGCACATTTAGCCGTGTGCAGATCACTGCTGTGGAGGCACTGTGCTCCCTTTGGGGAGCGTTGCCAAGGAATGGCTAGTGCGTGAGAGCAGGTCGGGCAGTGCCTCCACCTTCACTGCTGAAATAATGGCTGGCTCATGCAGGTGCCTTTCCATCGAATGAGATGCCGCTGTCTAATGAGGTTTGTTGGGGCCTTGGGCAGCCTCTGTCCTTTTGCGCTGAATAGCTTTGTGCTCCAGCATTTCTGTCTATTAAGTTGATTGTGTCTGACAAGTCATCAGTAATGAGAGACAGTCGTATGAGGTCCTGTGCAGAACACGTTTGTGCACTAGGAATTTGAACCATAAGAACGCAGATAAGCAGGGAATGGTGGGAATGGTGGGAGGGGTATTCCAAGGATAATTCACTTTACAGGTTCTTGATAATGGGTTTTGGAAAATTGGGCCAGAGGTAAGACATTTGCAGGTAAGACATTTGCTTTGCATGCAGCCACCCCTGGTTCAATTTCTGGCACCCTAGGGTCCTCCCAAGCACTGCTAGATGTAACCCAAAAGTCAAAAGCAGAAAGAAAGGAAAAAAAGAAAGGTCTTCTCAATAAACCTTATTTCCTTAAGTAACTTTCCTGTTTCTTATGCAATTTGAAAATTGGGAGCTAATAATTGAATGAGTAAACTTACATTGGGAAAGACAGGGCCTGTTGGCCAGGATTATTATAAAACCCAGATTTTTTCCATAAATTTTCATTTGTGTCTCCCTCCTAAACTAAATGCCAATGCTGAGCTTTTTTTTTTTACACTTGCTACAGTGATATAAATTGATGTGAATAGAAATAGTTTCAGAATGCATTACCCGATAAGGCAATTTCAGTCTGCCTCAGGGGTGTCAAACTTTGACTTAAAAACAGGAAAATTTATCTGAGATTTCAAGAGTCCTGGGTTATACAAGTTGATGGGAGGTAATATTTGGGAGCAATCAAGCTAAGGATACTTAGGCCCATATCTGTAATATAGACTATAAGCTTTAAGGATGGGGAACTGCCATGTTTGGCATGCAGAGGACCCAGGTTCTATTTCCAGCACTGCAGGATCCCTAAGTCTAGCTTGGTGGTCCAGATGGCCTCCAGCATACCTGGGCCCAAGCAATACCAGATCAGGTATCTCCAGGAGTAGCCCTAGAGAACCTCCCTTGGCCCTGAGCACTGATTGGGAGATCCCCCAAAGAATGGAATATATGCTTTCAATGTTCTACTCTGCAGTATATATTCTGTATATGTAATAGTTTCTTGAATGGGAGTTTTTTGGTCAGGGAGAGTGCGTAGACCAGAAGGTGTTCACTATTGGAGGATGATGGGAAAAGAAAGAGGGCGTGTGTCTTAGAACCCTAAATGGGGCCCACACAGTCCAAAAGATCCTTCTACCTAATGGCCAAGAGGACTGGCTTGTGGGGAGCTCTTCCTAGATTAGAAATGCAACCCTTGGCCTGGTTAAGTCTACGGATTTGTGTGTTGTACTTCTAGCTTAAGTGGGACCAACTGGTGAATTTTTGTTGATGATCTCTCTTTTTTTTTAGCCAAATTCAAGCCCTGAATTGGTTTTGTCTGAAGATGAAAAAAGTGACACTGAAGATAAGGAAGAAGCAGAGTTGGGTGTCGTGGAGGATCAGCGCAGTATAATTCTTCATCTGATTTCCCAGCTCAAACTTGGGATGGATCTAACCAAGGCGAGTGCTTGCTTCTCACTGGGTTTGCATCAGTGGCTGGAGGTACCACCCCTTCTTTTATTCCCCTAACTTCTCCGCACATGTTTCTTCACTCTGGTGAGTTTGGGACAACAGAATGGAGAGGACCAGAGTCATAGTCCTGGACCAGTCTTCTGGGTGTAATTATGCTGTTCTGACCTACATCCTCCAAACCTGAGCCTGACATTTGGTTCTCTGGGGGAGGGGCTGGAGAAAACAAGAAAACAAGAAGTTGTTTTCTGCTGTGTCCTGCTAAGATTGAAGGGTACCTGCAGAGACAGGAGAGACTTATGAGCCACAGAAAGTAAGCATGAAACCGGGAGAAACTTTCCTGGCTGATCCCTGGAGCGTTCCTTGTTGGGGACACAGCTCACAGTATTTGTGTGAAGAAACAAACCCGCTGGCCAGGAGAGGTACCTCCAACTCTCCCTGGTGCTGAGCTCAGCCAGGACATTCCTCAGTAGCTTCAACAAGAGAACCAGCCCCAATAATCAGTGATTAGGGCTCACCAAGACCTTTCTTCACCCCAACCCAGGCTTCCTTCTGGAAACAGGCAGGAAAAGACAATCCTGACAGGAGCCTGGAGGGTTGTGTGGTCTCCCGGGGGATGTGGGGAGGTGGAGACCTGCTCTTTGCCTTGTGACTCACCTGTTCCACTGCCAGTCCTGCGACTGGGGAAAGCAGGTGAGAACTGGAAGCCACAGATGGAGACTGAGCCCAGGGCTGCACATAAGATGAGTCCTCAGTCTCTCTGTGTAGAGTGCTCATTTGCAGGTGGACCTGTGGTATTCCAGAACAGAAGCTGTTGGGGAGAGAGGGCTACTCTGTGGGGACAAAGTTCTAGATTCATTCTGAAGCCTGCCGGCAGAGAATTAGTCTGAATCACTGGGGGCAGGCATAGCCTGTAGAAATCACTGCAAGGGCAGGTAGATAGATTCCACATATTTACCTCAGACTAAGCTGGAAGCCACGGAAGAGAGAGGCAAGGATAGGTGGGAGAGACCAAAGGGCAAGATGGCACCATAGTGGCTTCCATTAAACTGAGCCAGAGGAGGCAGGGATAAGAGTTGTGTACTTGGGAGATGGTCCCTGTTTAATCAAAATACTGGGGCCATGTTGAGGAGATGTCTGACCATTCTAGAGAGTTCCTGACTTTGACATTCTCAGTCTTCTACTTGGCTCTTTTCAGCTTTGTCAGGTTATGAGAGCCCATTCACATAATGCTGACTTCATTTTATTTTTGCTCTATCCTTCCCATCTCTGTCTTGCTAGAGGCATTCATAACATGCTTGGAATTCGGTTTTTTACATGTATGTAAAAATTTTTTTAGGGTGAGGTAGAGAGAAAGATACTGAACATTGATGAGAAAATGTGCACTGTTGGAGGGATGGGTGCTCCATCATTGTATGAAACTTAATCATGAAAGTTTGTAATTATCTCACAGTGATTCAATAAAAAATTAATATATAATATTTTTTGTTTGTTTTTTGGCGCACCCAGTGTGCTCAGGATTACTCCTGGCTCTGTATACTCCTGGCAGGCTTGGGGGACCATATGGGGTGCCAGAGATTAAACGCAGATTGACCACATGCAAGGCAAGCAAGGACCTTAGCCACTGCACTATATAATGGTCTGGCCCCGTTATATATTTTTGAATAAAAGAACTGGCATTCTCATTTTTACCAGGCCCCACCAAGTGATGGATGGCATGGTGGTCAGCCATCTCTCCATAAAGGTGGTTCCTTCCCCTTCCCCCTCTCAGCTGGGCCTTTCCTCAGTGAGGGTAGCCTTTGTGGAAAAGGGAGAGAAGGAGGGAAACACACCTGAATTGAGCCTAGGGAGGGGTGAGCACTGGTGGAGAGAACAGGAAGGAAGAAGGCCGATGGGCCAGGCCCGAGAGGCGAAGCCAGTGTTGGCCAGTTGGCATTTGTTGATGATTGGTGTGCTGGATCCTGGGGTGGGGAGTGGAGCCATGTGTTTGACCATGTGTTGGTGCTGGTGTGGCGATTCTGTTTGAGCCTCAGGATGATGAGAAGATGGTGCATGGTTTGAAGCAGGTAGGAAGCAAGGGGGGGTGGTCAGAGGATGCTGTGGCCTGCTCAGCCCAGCATGTGGGTTGCGTGTGTTTGACCCTTTTGACTTGGTTTTCAGAAAGAGGAAAGGCAGCAGCAAGGAATGCCTGTGTTCAGTTACAGAGCATGGATTTCCAGGGGCTATTCTAGACACCAGGAGTGCACTAGGGGCAGGAATGGCGGTGTCTCCCCCGCGGGGCTGGTCTGCATGTGTGCTCTGCCATGCCTGTACCAGACTTGGAGCTGGGCCGACCAGAGCAAGCACTTGGCCTGTGCTCCTGTGATTCTCGTGTGTGTGTGTGTGTGTGTGTGTGTGTGTGTGTGTGTGTGTGTGTGTGTATTTCCTGGGATCTGCTTCAATCATCCCAGCAGGGGAGGAAAACAAAAGAGCAATATGCTGGAGTGAAGGCAGGGAAAGTGTTGTTCAGGATGGGAGGAAGATGGAGACCACAGGAAATGAGTATGAGGCCAACTCAAGGAGCATGTGGCCAACACCACCAGAGTCTGGGTTGCAAATTTTAAGTGAGATCAGTGAGCTCTAGGAGAGGTGGGAGCTGCCAGTTGGAGACTTGGTTGCAAATTTTAAGTGAGACCAGAGAGCTCTAGGAAAGGTGGGAGCTGCCAGTTGGAGACTTGGAGAACTTTAGGACTAAACTGAGTTGAGGTTTGCTTGCTTGGCACCGTAGAGGGAGGGTGTAGCAGAGTGAGTGGGGTATTTTGAGGATACGCATCCTTAAGTCTTTGTTGTGACTTCTGCTGGTTCTGGGTGGACAGTGAACCTGCGTGGGAAACTGCATGCAGTCAACAGGCCTAAGGTCCTGGGGGCATGAACTGGACATGTTGGGAATATGGGTGAAGATGGGCTGTTGGAGACTGAGGTTTTGGGTCCACAGGGATCCATTCTTCAGCAGATCAAGCTGAAACTTCCTTCAGACTGAAGGAAGAGCTAGGACAGCAGGTGCGGGTGAGTTCTAGACAGACCCAGGAGCTTGGGGAGGCCGAGAGAGATGCTGGCTATGGGATTAGGCCTCTCATAGGTTGCTGAGAAGATGGAGTGAGATCATTTGAAGTTCAAAGTGCTGGGCCCACCGTGAGTTCTAAAAACAGTTGGTTTGGGTATTTCGTACATTTTGGGCAATGATTTATCCAATTCCTTTTTCTTAAGAAGTGATTCACTTGAGAAGCACCTGAGGTGATTTCAGCCACTGCTTTGATGTGTAGGAAGCCTGTTTTGTGGTCTGCCATGTTGTTGCTGAAACATTCTATGACAAGTTTGTGTCTAATCTCCATTGACCTTAACTCTCCCTGGGGCTCTAAACCAGGATGCTGATCCTTGATTCTAGCAACTTCCAGCAAAGCACAAGTGCTTTCTAAAAGCTCAGCAGGCATGAGGCTGATATTCTCTCTGATTACGTCCTCACCCCCAGCCGAGGAGGTTGGAACTCTGCTGTTCTCCATTTACAGCAGAGGAAGGAAACCTTGGAGAGAGAGAGAGAGAGAGAGAGAGAGAGAGAGAGAGAGAGAGAGAGAGAGAGAGAGAGAGAGAGAGAGAGAGAGAAGCTCACTCTAGCATACATGGGCAGAGTTTCTAGGAGATGGACATAGATCTGTCTCGGTTGGTGGCCTCTTTTCTCCTGCTTGTTTTCATGGGGTCTGCTTGTCAGTGGAAGGACAGGGCAGTGTGTAGATGGTTTGCAGGATTGTTAAGTTCACTGACGTGTCTGGAGGAAAGCGCACCTGCTCTTAGCCTGTCTTTGAGGAACCTGCTGTGCTCCCTGTGGGTGGATGGGACCATCACTCTTCCTGGGGCCCTTTGCCTTCTCTGCAGGCAATCATTTATTTGCCAGTCCTAAAAGCCCAGCACAGAAATTCAAACATTTGCATCTCGATTGATGCAATTTTGCGTGTAATTAATTGCTCTGAGTCCTAAGTGCAGATCCTCGCTCCCCACCCCTTCTCTGCAGAATAGTTCATTGTCTTAATTATGTTCCTGGGAGAAAAGGCAGCCCTTATGGATGGCTTGATAAATCTGCAGTAGCGATTTTCACCATTAAGATGCCATCGGTCTGGACAGTGGGGCCATCACTCACCTCTGCTTTGGAGGTAAACAGCCCAATTAGTACTCACCCCTTATTGGCTCTGATCTGCAGATTCTGCCAGGCAAGAAACAGATAATGAAGTGACTTATTTTCAGAGGTACCCCCCACCCCAAAAAAAAGAAGAAAAAAGAGCCAGAACAATCAGAACAATTGTATGAGAGATCACTCCAGATCCAAAATCTGCTTTAATGGGAAAATGTGACATCTTGCTCAAGGTGCCAGTTTTGAAAGGTGTCAGTCTAGGATTATATACGAACAGCAGCAAGGGATAGGAGAGGAAGTCATTCCTCCACCCCCAGCCTAGAGACTTCGTCTCTGCAGGCTCCTTTCTGTAGCTGCAGACAAAGCCAGTGTCCCTGTCAGGGGCAGAGCCCCATGTACCGGGTGGGTCTCTGTTGTGCTATGGTGGAGATGTGCAGCGTCGGGGGTGTGAGGAAGGCAGTTGGGATAACCTTGGAAGCAGGAGTGGTCAGAAAAATCAGCAGAGGTGAGCCGTGAGCTGAGACGCTATTTATCACTTAGACAGGAGGAGGAGAGGGCGGCGGAAAATGGAAACAAGAGTGAAGGTGAGTGGGTGGGATTGATTTGTGGTGGGAAGGCAGGGGCCCAAAGGGAGGGATAGTGCGAGAGGAAGCAGGTGGGTGTCTCTGAGGTTTTCAGATGTGGGCTGTGGTACTGATGAAGAAGGTGGGTCTGACCCAGGGCAGGGGGGCTGGGTAGGGAGCTCAGATCAGTCCTAGTGCTGGGTTTCCTACCCACCTGGCCCAGTGGCTTCCATCCCTCTGTGTTCTCACCTGAGCTCCTGGCATATTTTATTATTATTATTATTATTATTATTATTATTATAACAAAACCATGATTTACAAGGTTGCTCAAAATACAGTTGTTTCGGACATTAAATGTTCCAACACTAATTCCACCATCAGTGTGACCTTCCCTCTGTGCTGTCTGCCCCTTGCAGGCACACAGACATTTACTTTTTTTTTTTTTTTTGCTTTTTGGGTCACACCCGGTGATGCTCAGGGTTTATTCCTGGCTCTGCACTCAGGAATTATTCCTGGCGGTAGGGTGGTCGCGGGACCATATGGGATGCTGGCAATCAGACCCAGGTCAGCCGCGTGCAAGGGGAACGCCCTACCCGCTGTGCTATCGCTCTAGCCCCTACATTTACTTTCTATTGTTTGTTACAACACAAAGGCAAATGGAATGATCAAAACTTAAATCATGTCAATTCCTTTGTTATCTCACTGAAGTCTCTGTCTGGGCTGGCCTGGCTGATGCGTGCTGGTTGAGCCTTCTGTGTTTTTGTTTAGGTTCATTGACCCTGAGCACCAGCTATTGGATCTTCATCCTGAAGATTCCCCTTTTGGTATGTCTGCTCGGTGGTTTCTGACTCTGGGTAGTTTTCTTTTCCTCACTTAGCAGAAATCCCTAAGCTTCTGAGATCAGAAATGTTGACTTAGGGGAAATGCTTTCAATTCTTGTCTTTTGGTACATTACCTGGCGCAGCTAAACACTGGTAGCTGGTTCAGATGTGGACATTCTCATGGACCGGTGGCGGATTTGAGGCCCCCTACTAGTGGGGGAAGAGTGTGGGGTGAGCCCATGGACTCTCATTGTATCTGTTGTCCAAACATTTATGCAGATAGCCCAGAGGTGGAAGTCTGCGCTCTTTCTCTTGACTTCTGATCAGAGGTTCCCCTGGGCCTGGAGAAATGGAGTGAACAGGAAATGGGGTTCCTATGGAGGTGCCCTAACCATGCAAACTTTTTAAACTTCGTTTCATGGATTTGTCTTCATTTAGAGTGTTTTTGTGGGTAGGGGGAGGGGGTCCTCTAAGTTTGCTTAAATTCATATGCCCCAATCCACATAGCCTGTCCCATGAAAGACTCTGTAGGCAGGAGAAGAGGTGGTGAGTGCTTGGTGTTCTTTTAGCTTTTTTTTTTTAAGGGGGGCAGGAGAGGGTTACATCAGGTTCTCAGGTGGATCCTGGGGTGGTGGGGTTTGAACCCAAAGCTCCCACATACAAACCATGATGCCCCCCCCCCCCCATTGAGCCAGCTCCCTGACCCCTGGCCTGCTCTGCTGTACTCTAGTGGACACCATGCAGGAGGAGGAGGACACAGCAGCCTGGCCCTATGTGTGAGTCTCCTGGGAAGAGCAGTACTGAGAGTGCAGTGCTATCTGCTAAGTAGACGCTTGTTCCCAGGACATGAAGCACACACTGACCCCAGTTCTGTCCCTGCTGTTGCATACAGTTCCTGAGCACTGCTAGGTGTGCCCCCCCCCCAAACAAACAGAGAAAAAAAGGTGGGAGTAATAGCAGTCACATTCAGAGCCATTCTGAGTTAGGATCTGCAACCAGAGACTCGGTTTTGTCGAGCTGGGGTTGAAGGGAAATAAAGGAATCACCATGAGTTGGTGTAACTTGTGTTCACATAATCCTTACTCTCACTCTGTCTCGCTCTCGCTATTTCTTCTAGTGTGTTGTGAAAGCAAAACAGAATGATAAAGTGTAAATAAATCAGGCAAAAGAGATAGTTCAGGGTTTAAGGCACTTGCCTTGCCTGTGGCCAAATTGGGTTTGACCCCTGCCACCCTCTATGGCTCCCTGAGACTCATCAAGAGTGATTCCTGCACAGAGCCATGAGTGAGTTCTGAGCACTGCCGGGTGTGATTCCATCCAAAGCAAAAACGAAAAAGCAAGTGGAGCAATAGTTGGCAGTCATTTGAATGGGTTACCTAGAGGACCATGCGAGCGACTGGAGGCCTGGGGAGGTTGGGGGCTGTGGATGGAGGTGCAGGGTCTGCAGTGCTCCCGACTGCCCAGTACAGGCATGTGTCTGAAGGAAAGACAAAAAAAGCACTGCAGGGAGTGTCGGCCTTCCCCCACACAGCCCCTGCCCAAGACCATGGGCCTTTGTCCACTTTCTTCAGTGTCCAGGGCTTCTCTGGGCTTTGCTCTGTCTGGTCTCACTCTTGGGGAACTCCCCCCATCCCCACTCCTCTGCATGAAGAGGTGGGAGCAAGGGTGGTGGGAGTAGGTATCCTGGCTGTGGACTGCAGGATACTCAGGGCCCCCTTGGATCTCCCCCCACCTCCCACCCCACCCCTAGTCCAAGGGAGGGATGGGCCGGGTGTGTGGAGAAAGTTCAGCCTTGGCTGGGCTAGGACAGGGTGACCCAGCCGCAGCATGTGGCCCCTCAGCCCTCACTGGGGGCACAGGGAGGAGCCGGCAGGGACTCTGCTGATCCTCTGCGTCCAAACCCAGGGACTGCATGGCAGGAGGCAGCTCAGAATGTCTGTGCCCAGGTAACCAGTCATTGCCAGAGCTCATGCGAGTGAGAAAGTATCTCGCTCCTTTGTGGAGCATCCAGCTTGTGGAAGGTGCTGCGGTTACTTTCCTGGTGGGGTTTCTGGACACTTGGGAGGGATGGGACATGGAGCCACTTGGGATGGGTGAGAAGTTGCTTTGCTTCGTCTGTAATAGAGCTGTGGAGAGGTTCTTTGGTCCTGGAGCCCAGCCCCAGCCTCGGGCAGCTCCCAAAGCATCCGTGTGCCAACCATTCCATTGCACACTCTCTTCTCTGTGACTTCCCCTCCCTGCAGCTAGCCCAGTCTTGTGGCAGCTCTGTGGATGGGGTGGGGTGGGGGTGGGGGGTCTCCTCCCCTGCCTGGTTCAGGTGGAGTGTCATAGGCTCCGCTTCTCATAGAGAGCTCCAAAGCCAGCGCCTCCTGGAGCCCCTTAGACGTAAGCCTTGATAACCCTGGCTTCTCTGTTCATGTGAGAACTTGAAGGGACCCCCCATGGCCGTGCCACAGCCCAGGAAGGACAGGAGAAATCCTCGCAAGTGATTTCCCTCCTGTCTCTGCCTAAGAGGTGTGGAAGAGGCAGCGCCATCTGTGCCGAGAGCTGGGCCATGTGGCTTAAGCGCAGACATGTCCCACAGAAGCCATCCTTGGCATGGTCTTGGTCGTGAAACTGGGTAGACAAAGCTGGGAGCTCGGCCCTCCTGTGTTCTGTCTTCCCTCCTGGGTCACTTGCACAGCCCGGAGGACACCATTGTCTGGCTGAGGCTGCGCTGAGCTAGCAGGGAGGGCTCGGGTCTGACTCTCTCCCTCCTGCTGCAGGTGGTGCTTCCCACATTCATTCTGGAGCAACGCTCCTTGCTGGAGATGTACGCAGACTTCATGGCGCACCCAGACCTGCTACTGGCCATCACAGCAGGGGCCACGCCGGAGGAGAGGGTCATTTGCTTCGTGGAGTACTATCTCACCGCCTTCCATGAGGGCCGCAAGGGGGCCCTGGCCAAGAAGCCCTACAACCCCATCATCGGAGAGACGTTTCACTGCTCCTGGGAGGTACCCAAGGACAGGGTCCGGCCCAAGAGGACTGCCCCCCACTCGCCTGCCGGCCACGAACACCCCATGGGCAATGACCCATCCAAAGGCTACAAATTGCGATTTGTGGCAGAGCAAGTATCCCATCACCCGCCCATCTCCTGCTTCTACTGTGAATGCAAGGAGAAGAGACTGTGCGTCAACACTCATGTATGGACCAAAAGCAAGTTCATGGGCATGTCCGTGGGGGTGTCGATGATTGGGGAAGGTAAGTCACGGCAGACACAGGACGGGGCTGAGATAGTGGCCATGAAGGGTGTCGTGGCTGGAGTTGGGATTGGGGTAGCATGTAGACTGGGAACAAGGTGGAGGGTGGTCTTATAATTTTGATTGTTAGTATTTTCTATTGGGCTGGAGCGACAGCACAGTGGTTACGTAAGACATTTGCCTTGCATGCGGCCGACCCAGGTTCGATTTCTCCACCCCTCTCAGAGAGCCCGGCAAGCTACTGAGAGTATCTCGCTCACACGGCAAAGCCTGACAAGCTCCCCATGACGTATTCGATATGCCAAAAACAGTAACAACAAGTCTCACAATTTGTTGTGAGATGTTGCTGGTGCCTGCTCGAGTAAATACATGAACAACGAGAGGACAGTGCTACAGTGCTACAGTATTTTTTATTGGGGGTCGGGGGGGGCATACCTGGCAGTGCTCAGGACTTACTCCTTACTCTAGTGATTCCTGGTGGTGAACTGGGGGACCAAATGGGACACAGGGGATTAAACCCTGCTCAGCTTTGTTCAACAACCGCCTGACCCCCCTGTGCTGTTTCTCTAGCCCCAGGGGCTTGTGATTTTAAAACCCAGTCCTGGTAATTTTATTGCCTGCATCACTGCCAGCCATCTCTCCACCGCCCCACCTCCCCCCATCTTCAGCCAGGCATGTCTGTGGGTGGGGGGTTATTACCACTCCCCAGCTTTGCATGAATATTAGAATTGGCTTCAACTCGGTGGAAACATTTTTATTCATTCTCACCAATGTTCTGGCTCATAGACAATGAAAATAATAGTACTGCCACTTCAAAAATCTGCTCTCCTAAAATGTCCCTGGGCAGATCTCTCCACTGTGCTAGAGGTTCTAAGGCAAGAAAAGCCTCATCACAGCCCTGGGGGAACAGACGCTCCCATTTTAGCTAATAGCTGTGAGTGAAGTTTATTCATTGTTTGAAGGAATCCGTAATAATCCTTGTTAAATTCCAGCCGCTGTGTTAGTGGTTCATCAATGTCTTTTGTGGCACAAATCCCTCCGAGATGCCAAAGACGGAAGACTTCCTTTCCACTAAGAAAAACAGTCCAATCCAACATTTGGCTCTAGTAGGGTTTGGGAAACTCTTTCTAAACCTCAGGCGATAAACGTACCTTTCATTCACTTCAAGCACCTTTAACCAGGTAACTCATCTATAAATGTCCACCCTTAGCTGCAGTGACACACTATCAGCAAGTGTCTTAAATTCACGTGAATTCACTTTGCAGTTTTAGAGCCTGCCCCATGTGCCCGTGTTCCTCAGTTCTGGCACCAAGAGCCTCTAGTTGAGACCCTGGGTTAGCCAGGGCTTCCGCTTTATTACCCGCCTGCGTTGCCAGAGTCTGCAGCCATCAGCTGTTCCTGTACCCTGCCTCCCCTGTCCCATCCAGAGCTCTGGTCCATAAGTGGTGTCACCTCTGAATTGAATCTTGTGGAGGGGTCAACAGCAGTTCTGAGAGAGGAGTGATGTGTCTGTGGGTCCCCTCCCCCGGTTCCTCTCTGGAACCCCAAGCTCTTCAGAGGAAAGTCTCCTCTGGCTAATTCCCCCCCCCCTCCCCCGACCCTCCCAGCCTTGTTTCCTCTCTGGAAAGGTCCCGTCTTGCCAAGTGGGCTCAGATCACGATACGGTATGAAATGGAGAATGAGTGGCCAGACGGAAAGCCTTTGTGCTTTGCTGTGTGTTCATTGTGTTCATTGTGGGGGTTGCATGAGAACCTACCAGCCCATCACCAGGCATGATATGGCAGGGGGTGCTCATCTGGCGCTTTTCAGCTCCTTTTATTTCCTAGCTCATTAAAAATGAACTTTCAGGCAGACAGAGCTCGGTGACTGAGCATGTGCCCTCCACAGCAGGGACCTGGGTTAACTTCCTGGCACCGTTCAGGGCTTCTCCATGATCCTATACTCAGGAGTCACTCCTGGTGGTGCTCAGGGGACCTATGGGGTGCCAGGGATTGAACCCGGGTCACCCGAGTGCCAAGAAACTATCCTTAATCTCTCTGGCCACGGGCTACCTCCTGCCAACAGTCTGTTTTGTTTTTTCTACTTCCTGAGCTCATGTTGTTTGACATTAGTGCCATTTCCCACCTGCAAGCTCATTTGAGAAGAAACTTCTAACAGTATCAGAGCGGGCCAGTGTCTCCACATACCTTGGTTTTACACTGGAAGGACACAGACACAGCCAGCCTGGCCCACTGTCACGAGCATGGGCAGAACTAGGCCTAGAGTGTTCTCTGGGGGTCACTCTGTTCCCTAGGGTATGGGGCAGGGGGGTCGCCAGGGCCCCAGCACAGGTGTTTGCTGGCCTGGTATTGGCTTGTTGGAGGACAGGTCTGCTCAGTTGGGAGTCCTGGGCACGCCCAGCCAGGCGCCTCAATTCTCAGGCTCAGATGTGGTGGTGTTCGGGGCACACACACCCAGTCCTGTGCTGACCTGGGAGTGAGATGGAAATGCTGCTGTGATAGAGGCATCCCCTGTCCTGCCCACACGTCCATTGTCCCTGTGCCAGCCTGTGCCCCAGAGTGAGAGTTACCCCATGCTGGGAGGCCCAGGCCCTCTGCCCGGGTGATGGGCCCACAACCAGGCTGGCGGTATCCCTGGGAAGGAGCACAGGGCTGCTGGTGCCTGGGGCCCACGGAGCTCTGGCCCACTTGCTCTGCCTCCCAGACAGAGGCCGGTAAGGGCAGATTGCGTGAAAAATCGGATGCAGCTTCCTTGTGGACACGAGAGATGGGGACTGCCATCTCCTCAGATGGCCTCACCAGCTCTGAACACACACACACACACACACACACCCTTGCTCCTGGGCACGGGGGCTCTGCTAGCCCGAGAGTCCAGAGCAGATGCACACCTGCCCCAAGTTTCCTTTCCCCCTTCCTTCTGTGAGACAGTATGACAACATGGACTCGGGTGGTCATGGTTGAGGGGTCAGCGGGTGCAAAGCCCAGCATTCCTGTCCTTGGGGAGTCAGGAGGGAAAGAAGCAAAGGACTGGCGATGAGACGCCCAGTTCCGGAGAAACTTGGAGAGAAGCTCAGGAAGCCTGGGTATTAGCATCCTTTAGTCGAAAACCCTGTCCCCTGGGAGGTGGAGAACCTTCTCTTTTTAAATCACATTTTTAAAAATTGAGATTCTGTGTTTATAGTGTTGTCAATAATGGTTTCTCATGCACAATATCAATACATGCCCCATCCCCTGTGTATCCCCTTCCTTGCCCAAGGACCTTCTCTTTTTTCTTCTTCTTCTTCTTTTTTTTTTTTTTTTTTTTTTGCTTTTTGGGTCACACCTAACGATGCTCAGGGGTTACTTCTGGCTCTGCACTCAGGGATCACTCCTGGCAGTGCTCAGGGAACCATATGGGATGCTGAGAATCGAACCTGGGTCGGCCACGTGCAAGGCAAACATCCTATCCGCTGCACTATTGCTCCAGCCCCCTTTTTTCTTCTTATATTTGTTTGACGCAGGAATGGGGGAGCACTCTGGATCTTTGTTTGGCTTGCAGGCGTTGTATTGGGCTTAAGACAGAGAGATAGAACAGCCAACACGGACTATCCCCATTATCCCATATGGCCCCCTGAACCCTGCCAGGAGTGATCCCTGAGCACGGAGCCAGGAATCAGCCTTGAGCACGGACTCACCCACAAAACCAAAATAAAACAAACAAAAAAACCAGCAGAGTGCTCACTAAATCCCAGCTGGGCATGCCCCCCCCAAACAAAACAGAAAGGACATGCAAGATGGGAAGCTAGAAAGGCTGGGCAGAGCAGGATGTGTGGGCAGTTCTCTGCTTGTATATCCTGGACACAGAGCCTGGGTCTCTCCTCGAGGATTTTTCTCTGGGGTGTTCTATTATTTATTTGGAGTGAGGCATAGCCAACAGACCAAAGCCAGAGCTGTGTTTCAGTCCTGGTAGGCAGATGAGTGCAAGGCCCAGACTGCAGCACCTCTGGGACAGGGCGCGTTTGCAGGACATTTGCACATGCTCTGCCTTCTGCAAGGAGCACCTTTTTCCCCTTCCTCTCTCAGCCAGCTCTCCTCTAACCCAGCTCAAGTGCACTTTCTCAGGGACCTTTCCTTTCTATTCCTTGGTTAACCATCCTGGCTCTGGGTACCTCCTGTCCTTTTACCCTGACCACTTGCTGTTGCCTGGTGACTCGTGAGCACCCACCTTTCTGCTCTGCTCTTGAGGGCAGAAAGTGGGTCTGGGGACTGGAGTGATAGTTCGGTGGGTAGGGTGTTTGCCTTGCACATGGCCCACCCAGGTTCGATTCCCAGCATCCCATATGGTCCCCCGAGCACTGTCAGGAGTTATTCCAGAGTGCATGAACCAGGAGTAACCCCTGTGCATCACTAGGTGTGACCCAAAAAGCAAAAAAAAAAAAAAGTGGGTCTGTCTGCTTGGCCCTTGCATCTCTGCATCGTCACACTTTCATGCAAAAGGACACATGCCAAGTAAAGGAAGGGTGCCCTGCAAAGGGCCTTCCTCATTGGCACAGTCTTTCTCGCCAGTGGCTCATTTTTTCTATTCTCCTTGCCTGACACTTCCTCCTCTCTCCCTGGAGGGGTCCTGAGGCTCCTGGAACACGGGGAAGAGTATGTGTTCACCTTGCCGAGTGCCTACGCCCGCTCCATCCTCACCATCCCCTGGGTGGAGCTCGGAGGAAAAGTCAGCATCAGCTGTGCCAAGACCGGCTACTCTGCCACGGTTATCTTCCACACGAAGCCTTTCTATGGAGGGAAAGTCCACAGGTAGGCCGGCTGTGCACCGTGGTTTCTTCCTTCCTGGGAAGATGGGCTTGAAGAGTCAGATAAGGGAACAGGGAGGCAGCACAGAGAGGCTAAGGTGCTTGCCTTGCATGCAACTCACCTAGTCAGATCCCCGGTGCTTGCAACTGATCCCTGGAACAGCAGAGTGATCCCTGAGCCCAGAGCCAGGAGTAAGTCCTGAACCCAGATATATTGCTGCTGGAGGGGTCGGGGGGAGGGAGAAGGTGAAGAAGAGAGTGGGGGAGAGGGGAAGGGGAAGGGGGGATGGGAGGAGAGAGACCACACCCTGCCATAGGGTGTGTTTTAGGGGTCCAGTGGAAACAAAGTGAATCCCTTTGGGGGGTGCATTGGCACACATCCACAGCGGGGAGAGGTCTGACCCGCAGGGGATGGGGCTCAGCGGCAGGCCAGTGAGTCCCTGAGCTGGACACCCCCACCCCACAGGATCAGTCAGCATTACTGAGCTAGGAGCAGCCCCTAGCACTTCTGGGTGTGGCCAGGAGACAACACACAAAAGCAGGGAGGAAGACGTTTTGTTTCTTATTGCAGTAAATGCTCCCTCCTGAGACATCGGCCTGCCCTGGTGGGAAGAAGTTCGGAGGTTCTGTCTGAGCACCCATATTGTCCAGGGCTCCCCTTTCCCAGTACCCTGAATCCCAGTCCTCTGAGAGATCAGTACTCCCCCTAAAATGCCCCTTCCCCTTATAGAGCTGGGTCTTGGCTACCCAGAGATGGGAGGGAGGTTGGGGGGGAGGTTGGGGGGGTGCCACCTTGTTTTCCTGACTTGTTCCCCCTACACCAGCCCATTTTAGCCAGTCCTCTGGAAAGATTCTTCTGGAGTGTCCCCTAAGGGCCAGGGTATCCCTCTGTGGAGCACAGCAGACTGTAGGTGAGGCTGCCTGTTCCCCTATCCCATACTGGGTTCTTGAACTGTGGGAGACCCATCAGAAGCTGAGCAATGCTTCCCCAGTTACAAGACCCCTCACACAGAGTGCGACCAAATGCATCTGGTGCTCGGTCCCACCACCCAGAAGCCTGGCGCAGTCCACGGTTCCCTGGGGGAAAGAGCTTCCAGGCTACCTTCGAAGTGGCTTAACGTGCCCAGAGCTGGACAGGCCATGCTTGGCTTCTGGGGGCCCGTCTCTTTCTGGGGACTCCCACTGGCTGCAGAGAGCTGCTAGGTGGAGCGAGAATGAGGTCTTTCTCTCACCCTGGCTGCTCATGGAGTGCTTGCCCAGGCCAGGTGAGTGGGACTTCTGAGGGCTTGGGAAAGCTCGGTGGCAGGAGGCCGGAAGCCTCGAGTGAGGGGTGGGCATGGATACCAAAGAGGCAAGACTCAGTTCTGCTGGCTACCTGCAGGGGCTGGGAGGTCCTGGGGTGGCCTGTCTCCGTTTCCGGTATCATCCCAGTGGACCTGACCCACAGCTGATTTGGTCTCCTCCAAGGACTGGAAAGTTCTCCCTAGACTCCCTCTTCAGGTGGTTGAAATGAAGCATTATTGAATGCTATTTGGGGGAACAGGCAGACAAGGTTTGTTTTGTTCTCACTGAATTGCTTTATTTCTACCCCAACAATAACACCTGTTTTTGTTTTGTTTCGGGGCCACACCCAGCAGTGCTCAGGGGATCAAACTTTATCACATACCAAGTCCTTGTGGGTACTGTATCTCTGCTTCTCTCAAAATTGACATCTTCTATAAGCTTTGCATAATTATCCAACCTAGGAGAGCCTCTTTGCTGCATTGCTGTTAGCGATTCTGCAGATGCTTCACAGCCTTCCCGTTTGTCCACGGAGGCTGACTTTTTTTCTCTGTCCACAGGAGCAAAATGGCAGAAAAGAATCCCTGTTCCCCATAAAGAAATCTCTCACCCCAAGTGCCTATTGTGAGTCCGTCTCTGTCTCCCCACTCCCCCTCAGGGTTACAGCAGAAGTGAAGCACAACCCCACCAACACCATCGTTTGCAAAGCTCACGGCGAGTGGAACGGAACGCTGGAGTTCACCTACAACAACGGGGAGACCAAAGTCATCGACACGACCACACTGCCCGTGTACCCGAAGAAGATCCGTCCTCTGGAGAAGCAGGGGCCCATGGAGTCCAGGTAGGTGGGCAGCTGGCCACTGAGTTAGGCCTGGCATTTCCCCCTAGAAGTAGAGATGGGAAGCCCAAGGAGTGGAAATGAGCCTGGCCTGGTGTTCTGGTGTATCAGCTACTCGACTTTCCTGCCTTTCTCAGGAGAGAGCCTCTCTAGCTTTCGGTTCAGTGATTCAGGTAAGGGTAGCGGGGTAGGGCATGTGAAAAGAATCAATAGCGAACTTTTTTATTATTATTATTATTTGTTTTATAAAGTAGTTCACAATATTTGATGACATTGAATATTCGAACACCAATCCCATCACCATTACACCTTCCTACCACCATATTTCGGATGTTTTTCCATCCTGAATCCCAACCCCTGCCCCAAAGCAGAACTGAAATAATTTATTTTGTATTGTTTGTTATGAAAAACCACTGAAATTGCTACAAAAAAAGTTTCCTTAAAGAGTGTGAAGATTGTTGTGTTTCATCTAGGGGCCTAATAGTAAGCCTTTCTATATTATTACTGTTGTGAGTCTGGAGCATGGTGAGAAGCAGTTGATGTTGGTACCTGAATTTGGAGAGCCATACTTGTTTGGGGGGCTGGAGCAATAGCACAGCAAGTAGGGCATTTGCCTTGCACGTGGCCAACCCGAGTTTGATTCCTCTGCCCCTCTCAGAGAGCCCGGCAAGCTGCCCAGAGTATCCCTCCCGCATGGCAGAGCCTGGCAAGCTCCCCGTGACGTATTCAATATACCAAAAACAGTAACAACAAGTCTCACAATGGAGATGTTACTGGTGCTCGCTCGAGCAAATCGATGAACAATGGGAGGACAGTGCTACAGTGCTATATCATTACTGTTATTATTATGATTGTTATTATTTTTGGTTTGGGGGCCACACCTGAGTGTGCTCAGGGCTTACCTCTGGATCTGTGCTCAGGGTTCACTCCTGGCAGTGACTAGGATCAGATATGATGCTGGGGATCGAACCTGCTGGTCCCTCTTCTCTGGCCCTATAACCTTTGTCAGTGCAGCTGACAAAATTTGTCAGCTTAGCTGGCCTGCTGATAAATTGTAAAGTTAAATATAGAAAATTGTTGGAAATTAAAGGACCTTACAGGAAGCACTGAGATACTTTTCCTCTAAAACCTAAAAAACCATAAATTTAAAAAACAGAAAATGTAGATTCTAAACACAATTCCAGTCCACTGCTGGCCAGCATATAATCAAGCTGATGCTCCCATCCTTCTGTGCATATGTATAGCAGGGCTGGGGATTCGCCCACTCACTGCTGTGTGGGTTCGTTCACTTTCATCTTGTATTCCACTTTTGGGGAATGTATTCTAAGGGGAAACTCTCATATTCATAAAAGATTGAAACATACAATTGAGTATTCTATTCAGAGACAACAGCAAAAGAAGAAGCAATCACCTGTCCAGTGATCTGAAAATAGTTGAATAAGTTAGTGTCTACAGTGCTAGGTAGGACAAGGCCCTTACCCTGCCTGCTGACAACCCCAGTTTAATCCCTGGCGGTCTAGGGTCCCCCAGCCCTGCTGGAAGTGGCTTCAAACACCCTTTTAACACAAAATTAATATTCCACTCTGTTAATATATTGGGCTGGAGAGATAGCACAGTGGGTAGGGAGTTTACCTTGCATGCAGCTGACCCGGGTTCGATTCCCAGCATCCCATCTGAGCACCGCCAGGAGTAACTCCTGAGTGCAGAGCCAGGAGTAACCCCTGTGCATCACCAGGTGTGACCCAAAAAGAAAAAAAAAAGGAATTGCCTTATATAGGGTGATGGTTAGGTATGGTTTTGTAAGTACACAAGCCCTATATTTTTGGAATACAAAAATTTGATTTTTTTTTTTTAATTCTAGGAAGTCAGTAAACTGGGGCCCATGGGTCAAATGCAGCCTGTGGCTGATGCTTGTGAAGTTTTACAGAAACATAGCCAGAAGTAGTCAAGCAGTTATTTAAATATTGTTTTCAGCTTATCCCTTGCTACTCAGCCATTAAGTAGTTTCAGCCAAGGCCATATGGCTATAGTGCCTAAATATCTGTTATCTGGCCCCTCTAGAGAATGTTTGCCAACCCTGATTTTATCTAGAAGTATTTTACCATTTAGAAATATGTAGGATTACAATGAAATTACAGATGAGTCCGTGAAAAGGTTTGCTGTTATAAGAAGTGTGTAACCATATGGAAATGGTGTTTATGGTGCGGAACAAAAGCAGGGATGCTTCACTGTACATTTAAAAAAATAATCTAATGCTTTGCTTTTTTTGTTTGTTTTTTTTTTCTTTTTGGGTCACACCCAGCGATGCTCAGGGGTTACTCCTGGCAAGACACTCAGGAATTACTCCTGGCGGTGCTCAGGGGACCATATGAGATGCTGGGAATCGAACCCTGGTTGACCACATGCAAGGCAAATGCCCTACCTGCCTGAATCCCAGGGTCTTTTCTGCGCCTCCCTGCACGCCCTAGCTCAGGGATGCTCTTGGCCATCTGAGTGAGAGCCTAGCTCTTCAGCTGGGGGAGGGGGCAGTTCCTGTCATCCCTTCTTCCATCTTGTCAGGGTAGGAGGGGCAGGGGGCTTGTGTCTCTGCCCTTTATTTTTTTTGGTTTTGGGCCACACCCAGTTGCGCTCAGGACTGGTGCCTAGCAGACTCAGTGGGCCACACAGGGTGCTGGGGATGGAACCTGGTCTGGCCACATGCAAGGCAAATGCCCTACCCACTGTACTATGGCTTTGGCTGCTACATCTCTGCCCTTTGAATGTGGGATCTTAAATTACCAGGAAACTTGGCACAGGAGGACCTGCCCTGGTGAGCACCTCACCCTAGATTTTCGTTGCCTCTTTCTTCTCATCAGGCAGCAAGGATGGTAGAAGTAGAGAGAGAGTATGGGGGAAATTGTCTGCCAGAGAGGGAGGGGGAGGGTTGGAAAGGGGTGGTGGTGGTAATACTAGGGACATTGGTGGTGGAGGAATGGGTGTTCAATCATTGTATGACTGAAACTCAAACATAAAAGTTTTGTAACTGTATCTCACGGTGATTAAATTAAAAAAAAAAAAAGAATGGTGGAAAGAGCAAGGTCAATGAGACCTGATGAACCTGGCCTTACCTCCCAGTTCTAGAAGATTCTACAGCCATAAAGTCAAAGTCAGCTCTGCTGACCCTGGCTTTTTGGTCTCCAGGATGCCCACTGATCCTTGATTATGAGCCCCCTTCACTGTCTCCTTCTTTGTGGGCAGCCCTGACAGCCTCCTGTCACACATGCCCACACCCAAGTTTCCTATGCTGTGACAGGGTCAGGGTCCTCTGCCCTGAGAGGGCTCCCTCACCCCTTCATCGAGAAGCCCGAGCTGTCTCTGTGTGAGAGTCCACCCAGCCCCGCGGCCCACAGGGAGGGAGGCAGCCTGGTGGGGTGTCCTGCTTCCCCTCAGTGCCTCACCTGCCACCACAGAGGGCATGTGAAGCGGGGCGACCCCCAGAAGGTCCTGCCTGTGGGAGCCATATTCTGAGGACTGTTGGAGGCTGAAGTTCTAGCTGTTCTGTGGGAGAAGCATGACAAAGGAGAGACTGGGACAGGCCCCTTCATCATAAACCTTGCACCCACGCCCCTCTCCTCATGCCAGCTCCCCTGCTGAGCATGCCAGTTAGTAATGGGTGACCAGCAGCTGACCATGGACAGGTCACGCCCCCTTCTTGCAATGCCTTCCTGCACTGGGACAGCCATGTCACACCTACATCCCCAGGTCACTGTGATGAGTCACTGTCCATGGGAGATGGTTGGCAGGAGGACAAGGGCTTGAGGAGCATCTTCACGTTGTCGATGGCCATGCTGCCACCACTCTTGTCCTAGATCCCCAAGTCCTGCAAGACTGAGCCCAGCAGCCCAAGGTTCAATTCCTGCCTCCCCTGGGACACCCTGAAGGGCCACTCCTAAGTTTCCTTGCCCCTGACTTTTCTCCCCCCATCCCCCCCCCCCCCCCCCCAGGAACCTCTGGCAGGAGGTGACCCGCTACCTGCGGGTGGGGGACATAGATGCGGCCACGGAGCAGAAGCGCCATCTGGAGGAGAAGCAGCGGGTAGAGGAGCGGAAGAGGGAGACCCTCCACATGCCCTGGAGGCCCAAGTATTTTACGCAGGAGGTGAGTGGGCCCCAGGCAGGTGGTCCTGAGCGAGAGGCTGTGGGTCTTTGTGGCTTAGCTGCAGAGGGGTTGAAGATGGCAGGTGATGGTGGTAGGGGCAGCCTGCCCATGGCCTCGGCTTTGGCTAAGCCGAGCCCTGGAATTGCTTCCATCAGAAAAGCCCACGCACCTGCCGGGAATCCTGCCTGGGCAGGGAACGGGATGGCAGAGCGGGATGCTAGCCAGGGTTTTTAAAGAAAAAAAGGACAGGAGAGATTGTATAGTGGATAAGGTGCTTGTCTTGTACACGTGGACCCCGGTTCTAATCCCGACACCACTTGGGGTCCCCTAAGTCCCACCAGGAATGAGCCCTGAGCCCTGCCTGGTGTGGCCCAAAAATAAAGAACAAGTCATTCTAGTAGCAGGGTTGCTCTTATTCCCTTTTAGCCTAGCAACTGCTATGAATGCACTTTTGGTTCTTGCCTTTATGTCACTGAGACTGCACTGCTGTCACTACTACTTGTGTAAGCTGGCCTGCTGGTGGCCAGGAGTGTCAAGTCGAGCTGTTCTAGGGCACTTCCAATTCCCTGCGGGCTGCCGGGTGGGAGTCACTGGTTTTGTTGAGATCCCTTGTGCAGGCTCTGACTCTTTCTCTCTCCCGGACACTCATTCCAATGTTCTAACTCCTGTCACACTTTCTTTTGACACATGATCTTCCTTGATAGAAACCAGCAATCATTCCATGGGATTTTCTTCTTCAGTGTCAGGAGGCGAAGGTCCCATGGGCTTGGAAAGCATCAGGGCCGAGGGGTGTGGGAGCGGCATGGCTGGGCTGGGCACTCTCAGGAACAAGCTGCAGATGGTCACTGCTTTCCTTGTGCAGAGCTTGGGCTGGGGCCACTCCTCGCATCCCACTGAGGCCCATCATGATGTCTCTTTCCTTCTCTTCCAGGGTGACAGCTGGGTTTACTTCAATCCCCTCTGGAAGGCACACTGATGGGGTCGCAGAACAGAGCTTTCAGAAATAGCCGTTTTTGTAGGAATTAAAGTGGTACAGTATCAAAGTTCGGCTGGTATGCGCTGAGACAGCTTGATCTCATCCAAGAAATCACACCTGAGAAATTATATACTGTGAAAAATGCTCCCCCCAACTCTGCTTTAGGATTGAGTTTCTTCAGGAGCCATCAGGGGCCTGTGTGTGTGTGTGTGTGTGTGTGTGTGTGTGTGTGTGTGTGTGTGTGTAGAGGCGGGCACTCAGCGCTGACCGTTCACATGCTCGCATTCAACGCAGCTGCTGGGAGGATGCGTGTAGACACTGCCCTTGCGGAGGAGTAAGAGGGTTATTAGGAGCTCCTTTTTATCAATGAGTTTGACATTTTCTATTCTTCATAAGATGCCAAAAATGTTTTGCACTGACAAAGGGAGCCCCATTCATCTCTGGTCCACAAACAATGTTGAACTAGTGGTGGCCCATTTACATGGAAAAAAGTGGTTCTGCCTGATACCTGTGTAGGTGGGTATTATTTCAGTATAAGAACAATACATACTAATTCCGGTTGGATGGAGAAGTGGTTAATTTTTTTCAGACTGGAGCATATCTGGGAGAATTTAGGCTCAATTGTTTTTTTTTTTTCTCCCAAAGACTTGCCCTTGACAATTGCTCATACTCAAAGCACTAAGTCATGCATCTCTCAGAAGCTGCTTCTTTACAGTAGAAAACACATCATCGGAGACTTTGTTACTTTATGATGAAAAAGGGCTTTAGAAGTTAAATACACGCAGGCATATCCAAACAATAAACAGCCACAGCCTCAGTCTCAGCTTTAGTTTGGGAAAAGAGCAAACTTACGTGTGGACTGTTTTGTTTTTTAGTGTACCTTTCTTTTTTCACCCAAACTGCAAGAACACCACTGTGATCAAACATACTTAAAGCCTGCCTAAGCGTTCCATGGATTCTGTTGAATTTCAGTCATCAAACTTAATAGATGAAGTTGAGATATGGCTAGACTAAAGCAAAGAGGAAACTGAAATGTTTGATTTTTGCTCAATGCTTACTTTATTTTTTACTGTGCCACTCCAATGAGAGTATTTATAAAATCCAGTAGCATGAGTGCTTCTCTGTAGTAATACTAATTTTGTGCCTTTCGTCTGCTTTCTGAAGACCAATTGTTCATGACTTTGTAGATATTAGACAAATATATTTCGATTAAATACCATACCTATCAGTGTGCTGTTGTTTTATTTCTAGGGATTCAAAAGATCTGCTGACAAAAGATGCACCATTATTGTTTAGAATTCTCTCCCCATCCCACCCCCCCAATCAGAATGGCTGAAAAAGCATTGTGAAATACTTTGTTTTCTATAGCTGGTATGAGAATCATATAATGTCATATAAAGATTTTGGATTTCTGCAAAGTGCCAGATCATTACGAGATTGGTTTCTGTGTGTCGTGTTATGGCTGTGCCGGAGAGCCACTCAGGGGGCAACTCGTGACCTCGGTAGGGCGTGAAGGACGAGCCAGTACCACCCCGCTTCCCATGAGACTGCAGTTGCCCTGTCACCACTGGCTCATACCTGGCTTTCCAATAAACTCTGAGGCTGTGGCCACCTTGCTGCCAGGGGGTAGAGAAGAGTTAAGTAGAAATCATCTGCCTCACAGGCATTGGGAGGGGTGGGAGGGAGGGTATATTGGGGTTCTTGGTGGTATAAAATGAGTACTGGTGAAGGGAAAGGTGTTTGATCATTGTATGACCGAGACTTAAACCTGAAAGCTTTGTAACTTTCCCCCCAGTGATTCAATAAATAAATATAAGAAGAAAAAAATTTAAAAAAAGACTACATATATAGATCAAAAAACAGAATAGAAATCTTGACAGTTTCTTGAATAAAATCTTTCAGAATTTCTTTGCCAAAAAAAAAAAAGATCTGCTGAGGGGCCAGGAGATGGTATAGTGCACATTTATAGTGCACATTTCATTTCTAGCACCACATAGTCCCTGAGCATCTCTGTGTGAAGCCCTGGAGTTGGCTCAGGTATCCTCAAGTCATTGCACTGAGCCACTTCCTGATTGTTCAAAAGTTGCCAGTGGGGTCCCCGACCACCTCAGTATTACCCCAAAGAAAGATCTGTTGGAATTGGTGGCTCTGATCTGAATGAGCTCACATTTGACTGACTAGATTCTAGTCTAGTCTAAATCCTAGTCAGCAATCCTACTTATATGAAGTGTTTTAATACATTATCATCTACCAGATAAACACTGTAGCACTATCCTCCCCGTTGTTCATCCATTTGCTTGAGCGGGCAACAGTAACGTCTCCATTGTAAGACTTGTTGTTACTGTTTTTGGCATATCGAATACACGGGTAGCTTGCGAGGCTCTGCCGTGTGAGCGGGATATTCTCAGTAGCTTGCTGGGCTCTCCGAGAGGGACAGAAGAATTGAACCTGGGTTGGCCGTGTGCAAGGCAAATGCCCTACCTGCTGTGCTATGGATTTTTCTGACAAGTTCCTAAGAACATAACTCATACCTAGTGAGATGTCACTATCAGGTAAAATCACAAATGGTCCTGTTTTAAGATTTTGGTGGAGGATGGAGTGGGGGGTTTGGGCCACACCTGGGTAGTAGGGATCACTCAGGGATCACTCTGGATAAGGCTTGGAGACCATGAGTGGTGCTGAGGATCAAACTGTGGCCGGCAGTGTGCAAGGCAAGATATTAAGACCATTGTCTGAAAATAACTGGGAGACTAAATGTTTGAACCCATTTTGTTTCTGAGAGGGAAAACAATAAATATTAAGAGGGGGAAACACAAACCTCATTGAGATGGGAAAGTGACCACTGCTGTTGTCAGGTGTTACAGTCTTACTCTAAAGTATAATAGTACATGTACTAGAGAGATTAGTACAGCAATTAAAGCACTTGCCTTGCACACAGTAAACCTGGGTTTAATTGCTAAGCAGCACATATCATCCCTGAGCACCATTAGGAGTAAGCCCAGAGTACAGCTGGGTGTGCCCCCCACCAAAAAAAGAGGAAGGGGTTCATTTTACCTTTTAAAAATTGTGAAATATGGGGGCTGGAGTGATAGCACAGCGGGTAGGGCGTTTGCCTTGCACATGGCCGACCTGGGTTCGATTCCCAGCATCCCATATGGTCCCCTGAGCTACCGCCAGGAGTAATTCCTGAGTGCAGAGCCAGGAATAACCCCTGTGCACTGCCAGGTGTGACCTAAAAAGCCAAAAAAAAAAAAAAACCCCAAAATAATAACTCCCCCCCCAAAGACAAAACAAATAACCCCACAAAATTGTGAAATATGTATAAATGATAATATACTCACATGTCCCCCACAACAAAGACTAAATAACTCTCATGTCCCCCACAACAAAGACTAAGGTTTGTGTGGCAACACCTTAAGCCACCTTTGTACCCATACAACGTCCCCTTTGGATATTGAACTGGGGTAACCCCACCATCCTAACCTTACAGCAGTCATCGTGTTTCTTAGATGTATACAACTGTGTATTACTAAAGCTTGTTTTCGGTTTTGAGTTAAGCTTAAAGGAAATTGTATCAGTTTATTTGAACTACTTTTTTCTCTTTTTTTTTAAGATCAAGCCATGTTATGTTTGAGCTGCTCTGTTTGTTTGCAGTGCATGAACCAAACCCAGAGCCTCAAACACGCAAGGCAAGTGTATTGCTATATCCCCAGGGACTACATTAACTACAATAATTTGTTAGTATTCCAAGACTGCATTTTATTGTAATTTGTTAGTGGTAAACTACACGTACAAAAATCGTTTGAACAATATAAATGAATGACATTAAATTCACATTATTGTGTAACTGCCATAACCATCCAGCTTGTTTCAGTTTTCTCCAAACTGAAACCCAGAATCCGTTACAAAGTGATTCCCAGGGGCTGGGAGAGAATATAGCAGGGAGAGTGCTAGCCCTGCATAGGAGTATGATCCCCAGCATCCCATATGGTACCCCAAGCCTCATCAGGAGTGATTCCTCAACACAGAGCCAGAAGCCCTGAGCACAGCTGGGTGTGACCCTGAAACCAAAAAATAAAAAAAAAAAATACCCTCATCTGCACTCTTAGCCCACTTCGTGCACCTCTGAACTTGACTTATCTAAGTGGCTCATGCAGGTTTGACCACTTGTTTGTGTTATGTTGTTTGTTAATCAGGACTTGTTTTTCCTTTTCAAAGGCTAATATTCCATTAGATATTTATGTACCACATTTTGCTTATTCAATTACCCAGAGAAACTTTTAGGTAGTTCGCATCTTTTAGCTACTGTAAATAATGCTGCTAGGAACTTAGAATGCCAGCATCTGAGTCCTGGCATTCCGAATGTTCCTTTCGGGTGGATGAACTCAGAGGTGGAGAGCCCTCTTGTAGGAAAATGCTATGCTCCATTTGAGGACTGCTGTTGTCATTTCCACAGTGACTACCATTTTGAAATTCCACCACCTACACAAAGGGCTTAAATTTCTCCACACCATCTGCAGTGCTCAGAAGTTTCCATAATCACCAATGGATAAGGAGTACTCTTGGCATTTTTTTTTTTTTTTTTTTTTGCTTTTTGGGTCACACCTGGCGATGCTCAGGGATTACTCCTGGCTCGTGCACTCAGGAATTGCTCCTGGTGGTGCTTGGGGGACCATATGGGATGCTGGGAATTGAACCTGTGTCGGCCATGTTGGCTGCATGCAAGGCAAACGCCCTACCCGCTGTGCTATCGCTCCAGCCCCACTCTTGGCTTTTTGCACTGTTTTTTGGTGGTATTAAGGATGGAGATGGAACCTATGGCAAGACGCATGCTTTTTTCCACTGTCCCCATTCTCCTGTTAGTGATGTCGGGTGTGTTTTTTGGCTACCTTCCTTGGAGATTTTTATTTCTGGGCTATCCCAGCTTTGTGCTCATTCATGGTGTTACTTGCAGGACACTAGGGTGCTGGGGATTTTAACTTGGGACTGCAGCATGCAAATCATGCTCTCCAGCATATGTCTCTCTGGAAATATTTTCAGATCAGGCTATTTTGTGTGTTGACTCCGAAAGGTTTTTTATAGTTGCTTTTTCTCTGTTGATGGCATCCTTAGCACAAAGGTATTTCATTTTGATCAGTTTGATTTGCGTATTTTTACATCATAATGATGGAATGCCAAATCTAATGTTATGTTTCCCTTGAGTTCTATGGTTTTAGCATTTGTATGTGGCTTTAAGAGTCTGTCTTTTTTTTCATGTGGGTATTGTGATTCCCTAAGATTATTTGTTTAAAAGACTTTTCCCCTCTGCTGGTTTCAGA